TATAGCAAAATGATTGGGAAATATATAAATATTGTTGAGAAAATATTATTCTCTTAGAAATTGTTAGCTTCAGTTTTTTTATATTACTTAACACAAGCAGTTGCTTCTGATAACATTGTAAAATATGTACAATTGAGAAATATTCAATCACAGTTGATACAGACATTTAATTTCCACTAGATTATTTTTCAACATCCATTTTCGTTTTTGCTATAGATAATAATAACGTAAAAGTAGTAATATCAGATGAAATATCCTGCATATTTTTGACTGCACTGCTTTTGTACTTTTTATAGAAATTACTATAGTATTTTTTCTATGGCATTTCTTTTTCATCTTGAACTCATAAACAGTACCAATATACACTTTAATTATGTCACATTTCTTGCAGTATGAATAGTAACATTAAAATTACTCCATATAAGATTCAATTAGATAGTAACAATGCAATGGAAATAATAGAAGATTATGATGTGGTGCTAGATGCAACAGATAATGTTGCTACACGTTATTTACTAAATGATGCGTGTGTCTTAAGTAAAAAGCCTTTAGTTTCTGGATCGGCATTAAGATTTGAAGGACACTTAACGGTTTTTAATTACAACGGTCCTTGCTATAGATGCATATTCCCTAAGCCGCCTCCTCCTGAAACTGTAACAAATTGTGGAGATGGTGGAGTCTTTGGCCCAGGTTTATATTTCACTACTGTTTATACAGTTAAGAATGTTTGCTTATTATTGCCTATTGTATGTATTCTGTTGCAGCTGTTGGCACCATTGGTGTTCTTCAAGCATTAGAGGCACTAAAGATTGTACTTAAGATGCCTTGTGTTTTATCTGGTCAACTATTGCTGTTTGATGGTCTAGAAATGAAGTTTCGTAATATCAATCTGCGACCCAAACATGCGAATTGTCCTGTGTGCGGAAAATGTCCAACCGTTCAGATATTAATCGATTACGAACAGTTTTGTGGCGCAAAAGCGAATGACAAGGATCCAAACTTGAATATATTGCAGAGGGATGAAAGAATTAGTGTGGAAGAGTATAATACAGCATTAGAATTAGGAACAAAGCCTCATATGTTAATCGATGTGCGTTCACCCGAAGAATTTGAAATTTGTCACTTGAAGAATTCTGTAAATGTACCGTTGCACAAAATTGAAAGTAATGAAACAATATCATTAATCAAAAATAAGGTAAAAGAAATAAGAGATGAACATGATAAGATTGGATGTGAGTATTCGAATATGGGTTTGAAATTTTCGAATATGATACAATTCTTATTTTAAAATTGTTTCAGTATACGTTATGTGCAGAAGAGGCAATGATTCACAAAAGGCAGTGAAGCATCTGCAGAAAGTATTGGGTGAAACTGATTTTGAGATAAAAGATATCATTGGAGGAATTCATGCTTGGAGCAAAAAAATCGATCATACATTCCCTGTGTATTGATTATGTGAAATTCAAAATGTGTTTAAGTGTGTTTATTATGCTTTTTATTCATAAAGATCGTATGTGCATAATTTAGCAATATGCAATTTTGTAAATAATGTATATATAAGAGACATATACATCTACAAAAATTTATCATATGTAAAATAAATTTAATTGGAATATTTTTCTATCTCACAACTACTTAAACTCGTTTCCGGATATTTGTAATGAACATCCGATAAACTCCTTAATTTTTCCGCCGCTTGCTCTGGTGTTAAGTCTCTCTGCACCTGTGCGAGAAGTTCATAACCAACCATGTGTTTTTTTATAGTGGCGGATCGTAGCAAAGGAGGTAAGTAGATGCCATGAAAAGTCCAATAAGGATAATCTTGTTTCACATATGGACCAGTCGGTGCACCTTTACACAGAACAGATTTATAATTTAAGACTTTTTTTTCATTTATGATTGAATCTATCTAATAAATATATCATTGTACCATGCCAGCCCATAGAGTAAGGAAAAGGACAATTGAATAAATTATCATATTTTGTACATAATCTTTTCATAACAACTGCCAGTGTTTCTTGCTGACTTTCCGTTAAATCCTGCATCCTGGAAACCTGCTTTTTGGGCAGTACCATAGTCTCGTATGGCCATATAGCCCAAAATGGTACTAAAACTACCCAATCTCGATTTTCCAATACAATTCGCTCCTAAAATGTGAGATCAATTTGTGTCTATTCTATTATGTAATACATGTATCTAATCTTTCTCACTTTTTTTAGAAGCTCCTTCTGTACGTAATCAATAAGAAGTGGTTTCTTATTGCGATTATAATAATCAGTCAGATATTTATCTTTTATTTTAGCTTCATTTGGTAAAAAAGAGCTGGCCCAAATTTGACAATGAGGATGTGCATTGCTGCACCCCATCAAAGCACCACGGTTCTCAAATATTTGTACCCAAGTCCATTTCTCACCCAATTCAAGCATCTCAAAAATCCATCTGGCGTAGAATAATACTTGTTGACCAAGAACTGAGATTACAGATAAATACAGTTGCTGCAAACGTACCGTTTGACCACTTCCTTAATTTCGCAAACTTGCATAAGGGCTACTGTTACATTAGATTTTGGATGGAAGCACATTACTTTACATGTGCCCCTGGCAGAGTCCATTTGAAACAATTCGTCTTCTGACTGTGTTGGGCTAGGAACTGAATCCAGTAGTGCAGGAAAATCATTGATAAATGAATACGTATTCTCATAGATTGGAGTTACCTAGATAAAACAGAGAGGAGCATTAAATACATTTAAAAAAAAACTATAAAATTCAGTAGAAGTGTACAAAAATATCACCTGTCCACTGGCTCTGATATTGCCTGGACAAAGAGGATTATTAGGGTCATAATCTGGGAGGTCTTCCTCTGTATCTAACTCGATTTGCCCTCCCCATGGTCTCTGCATACGGTGTGGTGATACAAGTACCCATTCTCCCTTCAGAGGATTATATCGAATATGTTGATGTTCTATAAAATATTGATCTAATAGTTGAAACATAGAACAATAATTTGAAAAAACTTCTGCACAAAAAACATAGAAGAATTCTAACCAGTGGGATTGAATTCTTCCCTTAATGGATCTGTGCCATTTTTTAGGTCAGCTTTTCTTTTATCACCTGTAAAATAATATTATACATTAATTCTATCCATTATAATAATTAACAATACAAAACTATAATTCGTTAATTTAAATTTATAGTATTTATATTTTATTAGTTAGTTATGTAAAAATATATAATCACGGTACATTGAATAAATTTGAAGTGTAGTAATACGAAGAAAAATGATTTTCTATTTGAGAGAGATTTATGAAAATATTACTTACAATAACAAAATGGCAAAAATCGTAATGTAAACTTTGACAACAGTCACGTGGATATCGCACTAATTTCAGCTATATAATATTTACTCAAGGTCTGGTTGAATTTCGCTTTAGTTTCAATCATAAATGAATATAATAATTTTTGAAATTATTGTTGTATTATGACAGTGAATTTACAGTACAGAAAATAAAAGAAACGTGATATGTCATATGATCGATGTGTACGTTCGTCGCGGTTTTACTTATTCAAAAAACTTTCGATCAATAGCGGTACGCGTTAGGCGAATAACACAATTTAATTATCTATATTCGATAAGAACGTATATTCTGCAAAACGTTTTCTTCCTATTAAAGTAATAGTCATTTCAATATTTTACCTGTTGGTGTAAACATTTGTACGGAACGGCGGAAACAGCGCAATAGTGCTCTTGTATGGTTGAATTGTGCACTGGAAAATTTTCTAATAACAGTGGCAATTTATGAAGTTCTACCGATTGTAAGAAACTTAGATAGGATAATTGACGATAACGCTTACTTACATAGCTTATGAAATACAGTATTACTTGAACATGTACTGTGTACTTAAAATCGATTCAATCAAAATAGATCTTGATTAGAATGATAAAGTATAATCTACGTAAAAGATCTATGTAAATTGTACGAATAATTTTCGTTTCAATTTCTAGGAAAGTTAAAGACGATATTACTTTATATGTTCTTTTTTACTTAATGTTATTGAGACTGTCTTCTTATGGTTAATTGAACCGCTACAATGTGTATTCAAAGTCAAAGTTACACACATCGGTGATCAAAGTGTGTTGTATGTACATGTACGTATCTGCCCCACTTCGCTATCCGAGAGCCACCAATCAAAATCAGCATTCACTTTTGCATACATGTATGTATATATGCACATACCATTATATATACATACGTGATATTCAATATGTTTTGTATGCCTATATACGTTCATATGTTTTGATTGATGACATTTTTAAGTTATGAATAAGAGGAGAAATAACATAAATTGTTCTTATATAAGTTTTTGAGGGCGCAGGAGTGTTTCGAGTTTAGAGGAATTTTGTGCATCAATATAATGCAAGAAATCATTATCTGGAATGCACGATAAATTGTGTACATAATTAAGAAAACAACAAGACCTGTGTTAGAAAGCGAATGGTGACGTCACAAACACATATACATATATGTATATACATACGCAGAAATAGGAGAATGTAAATATCTTGGCAATTAATAATTCAAAGTTAATGTTTTTATCACAAAATAATTCTATAGATTTTATGCATCAATCCCATATCATAGTATCCACAATTTCGTCTATGTATATATGTTTTTAAAAAATATCTTGTTTCTTCACGGGCACAAAAACTGTAAACACAGACTTAATTCTTTGTTGTATCTGTGCTGTAACCACTCAGCGATAAAGTTATATAAACAGTTCCTGTAATAAAAATATATAGTTACTTGAGTGTATATAGTTAATTGAGCGTATACATAAGTTGGCAATGATGATTAACGGGAAAATAGTATAAAATATTGTAATTTAAAAGCTAAGCAAACATTTTGAGGGTATAGAAATATTTTGCATTCATATCATGTAAAGAAGTCTACTTATTACTGCATATTATTAATAATTATCAATGTCAGATGGCGTCAGTGTTATGTTCGAAGAAAAATTGGCTGTTAACATTTATTAAAAATTTAAGTACATATTTTGCTATAATGTCGAACTACGCTATGTATTGCCAAATTTTACGAAGCAAATGATACTCCTTATTGTTCACTTGATGATTTATACTCAACTTCGCAAGGATTATTTATTTTCATCATGTATATTTATTATTGTCTATTCTCACAATAAATCGAATAATTTTGTTAATAATAGATCTGTATATGCATATTACAATACAAATACATATATATGTACAATATTGTATGAATTTGTTTTTAGTCGTGTCAATTTGGTCACTCTACTTTTCGTTCAACATGGGGGATGAACGGTGAACAGTTGTTTTGATCGTCAGTACGAGTATCTATGTACTACCTCCTACAGTATCTATGTACTACGAGTTACGATTGACAAGTGCGCATTCCGCAACAGCCACAAATGCATTTCCATGATGAGCATAGAATATAATTTATTATTAACGAAATGGTTATGCTTATTGAAGTGTTAAATATTGAAACCTTGTACACACAATAATAGTAAGTGATTTTCGAACACTAAATTTCAACAGATCGTTTAAGAATTCTAGAATAGGTGTTCTAACCTATTATTATATTTTAGTATAGTTATACACGGTACCTGTATAAACAATGTTATTAGGGCTACAGAGTTCCTATTTTATAGAGACCCGTTAAATTTCTACCGGAACGTCAATCGAAAACGTTTATAAATACATAATTTATAAATATGCATACTTCGGGAGATTTTATTCTGCATGGAGGTGACAGAGCATTTGCAAGCAGACAAAAACTATTGTTTGAAAAATTGTCAGATGCGGAGCAACAGTGTCATAGGACTAAGTCATTTATTGAATCCACTGATGAAGATATGATTATCGATGAAATAAGTAATTCTCAAATTGTAAGGTCTGGTTTAAAACGAAAATATGAAACAAGAAGACTTCGCGGTAAAGAAAGTATTTTTAAGCGACCTGAAGGTCCTGCACCACGTGCTGCTAGCAGAACTATACCAGACTATCATAAGAACCCTCATAAATGGGTCAAATATAGTTTAGATGATGTATCTAACGATGATATGACAGAACAAAGCAATACGAGAGCTGCTTTATCATTCCTAAATGAATTAAGAGCAAGAAGATCATTTGAACAAATGGAAGACACAGAGAAAATGGATTTATCTGAATTTTCAACTGACAAGGAACCAACTAAGATTGTTTTTAAATCAAGAAAAGTTAAACCAACTTCAGATGTTCAGTTCAAAGCGCCAAAAAGTGATACTGAGAAGATCTTCAACAAGCCAGTGATTGTTGATCATGATGACAAACCAGTATTTAGAAACAGTAAAATTATTATGCCAGAGTATGTTGTTGGACAAAAACAAACAAAGAAAATTAAGAAGGATAAACCGAAGCAGATATCAAAAATAGATCGTTTGATACAACTTAAATTGGATCACCTAGAAGAATTGGATGAAGAACAAGATTGAACATCTTTTTAATACATTCAGTTAAGCATCTATATATGGTATATTAGCTATTTCTTTTCATTTATTAATGTACCTTATATGTAACAATAATAAAATATTACAATTCATTTGGACTCATTTGAAATGGCGCGATCGTAGAATTCTGTAGCTACATTCGCGCCATTTCTTTTTGTATATGGCTCCGCACTAAATATACCAGCGACGAAACATTGAAAAATTATCAACTATTGCCGTTAGATGCCACTTACTGATAAGTATCTTTTGTGGTGGTAGTATGACCGAAATCACAGTTTAGTTTTACTTGCGTATGGTAAGTACTCATGAACTGATGCGTATTTAAACACAATACGTGCTTGATTATGTATAGAATTCTGAAGATTATTAGTAGAAATTTACTACATACATACAGTAATTGGTCATACTTTGCGCACCTCGAGGTCATAGTTTGATCCATTAGCGAGGGTTACTACAAGAATTTTCTTTGCTCTGATTGGCTGATGATTTAATGCTACGACAGGATTCACTGTGGATTGGATGTGTAGTAAAATCGTGGGGATGCTTGCAAAAGCTAAGAGAGGTAGAAAAATCGTGCAAAACTTGTGGTACTGTACCTCCCTTAGCTTTGATAAGCATCCCCACGATTTTTAATTTTTCATTCGCAGTGATTTCTATCTTAGCATTGAATCGTCAGCCAATGAAAGTAAAGTAATTTCGCCACCTATTTTCGCTAATGGAGCGCGCTGCGTCCGAATAGTCTTGCAAAAATTTAGGTATGCACCATCGTGAGGCAGAATGGCTTACTATGATGAGGCATGACTGTACAATTGTACGTCCCACTACATACTTCTGTACACGTGCGCATTCTTCATTTCAGTTTTCGGAAAACGCTGGAGTTAAAGTGTGTTCTGTGCTTTACATATTTCGAAGTTTTCATGTAAACATTGAGTGATTGGTGTCTGAAGCGTAAATCGTTTGACTTCGGTAAGTTACATAAGGAAACTTAGGGAAATTATACATTTCGCTAAATTACAGCGAGGAAACTGGCTTGCTTGATTGGAGGGGGAAAAAAATTCCTAACCTATACTTGTGCTAACTCCGTCGAGATTCAAAATGGCGTGTCATTGATGTGCGAAAAACGTAGACGAATTCACGAGCTAACGTGTTGTGCTAAGTTTGTCGTTTGTGCTCCTATATTTGGTGAATTTATTTCTCTTGCCAGGATAGCAAGAAACAGAGAAAGGTTATGACACTGTCCCCGTGTGCGCCGTCCTAGGAAGTTCGTTTAGTATAATTCGTAGTCGAGGTACGGATTTAATAATGCAGGAAATCGTCCTGGCAGCCTTCTCCGTGATATCGAGTCTGCTCATAGTATTTGGCCTGGTGCTGCTGGGTAAGAACGACTGATAGTAACGTTCCATTATTGCTGCGCGGTACGCGGACTGTTTCGAAACATTGTTGCCAGAGCTGTCGAGTAGTCATATAGTTTCGGAGTCGAAGGTATAGTTGCAAGACTTTTGACCCAATACTTAACCTCTACCGTCACGTGTATAATATCTCCTAATCACTATTCTTAGTCGAAAAAATCTCAACCTTTATCTATCTTATGTTGCACTCAACTGGACTGTCATTGAGAAATTACCTTTGATTACGTTGTGTCAGACTTCGTTATACAGAGTGTTCCAATAGTTGTGGGGACAGGATTCAAAACAACTACTCCAAAAGAAAGCGAGAATATACTGAGTGACCTATAAATCAGAATTTAAATTGTTTCTGACAAAACACAAGTTATTTTGTGTTATTTCGTTGATTAATATGTTCGATTAAACAACGCCGTATGTTTTCTCTATCAAATTCTTAAACTACAAAGAAAGATGAATTCAATAGTATAGTTAAACGTTTATCCATGATTTCATCACTTATAT